GCTATTTGGCTTATTGCAACCTTGCAAAATTGTCATGAGATTTTAGCAACTAAAATCCAACCAACTCTTCTCTACCAATATAACAAACATTAAAGGGGAGTGGAATTAAAAGATTCTTTACTCATTCTCCTCTATTCACTACCCGTTGCTCACTATAACTACCTACTGAGAGTTTGCCAGGATGTTTCGTCACCTCCATCGAGATGCTAATACTTCTCACAATTTCACCCTGAGATAACTGGCTTTTGACCTGGTTACCTTCACTTTATTTCCAAAATGGTAGATGCTAATGCATCAAATTCTGTACTCTTTCAGCCTCAGTGAGATTGCTTTCAATGAATAGGATTGCATACGCTAGTAATGCTATTACTGAAATAGAAATATGTGTTTCCAACTAATCCGAAATAAAAATATCTAGTTTTACACTGAAGACCAATTATTTTTCATTTTTAAACTATCATACCCATAATTTATACCCCTTAAATGTTGCATCTCAAGTCTTCAAAAGGCAAATAATTTTGTACTTCCCGTTTTCCACCAATAGATGGCAGGTGAAGCTCTAGAAATTTACTCACTTGCTACAGCATGAAAAAAGAACACCTATAGTTTGCAAGTATACAGCCAGCTATAAATCGGTGCTCTCTGTTATCTCTTCAGATGTGATCATGATTTAGTCCTAGCTCACCCACCTTGCATTATAAACTTTAGTCCAGGTTTAGGAATAGCTACATTTTGTAAATAAAACTCTTCATTCTTATTTCTTTTTATCCTACTCCATTGGGTCAAACCAAAGTTTGCGCACACCGTCTTTGCACAACCAGCTCTCTTGGTCGAGAAGGTATTTGTCAGTGTGGCGCAGCAGCTGGTACCTTCTCAGGGTCTTAGGACTGAGCTTTCTGTGATTAAACAAGAAAGCTCTGCATTCATAGCCATGTCACAAATCATACTGATTGTAAGCTGGAACACAAGAGCTTGAAGCTCAAGCTTTGATTTCCAGTTCCATAAAAGCTAGAAACGCGGGGAGGGGGAAGGGGAGAGAGAGACTGGTGGCAGAAAGAGCCTACTACACTGATAAAATTCATTTTAATAAACCACAATAAGAATGCTCATAATGTGCTACTATAGTTCTTCATACATAATGCTGTATTTTTTTTAAAAAATCCAGTTCTTTTCTGAAACACAGAAGCAGGAGGGATTGAATCTTGTTTACATACAAGCCAGGTACAGTGCTCAATGTCACCATGGAATGGTATAAAAAGAGAGGGATTTTCTTCTGCACATGCTACAATGATTTTAAGGACAGCGAGTAATGCATTGTAGTTAATTAATTGTAGGATTTACTTGAAAAATGAATACAAGTGGGCATAAACCGTGTAGTTTGAGGAGTGCAGAGCACAAAAGGATACCTTGCCTTCTAGGCAATCTGCGTTAGTAAATGCAGATTCTTTTTCCTGCAAAATGATTTCCTGAAATCAGTCTGCCTCACAATTGCCCTGCTGTTACTGGCTGTCTAAGTATTGGTGACTAAGTGACCATCAGCTGGTTCTTGTATATATCACAGTAGCTCCTCCAGGCTGACCGAGTAGACAAATTTGACTGCTCTGATCCCTGCATGGCAGCCTGGATGAATTCTATTAATCCAATCCATCCACTAATCCTTCCATTTTTATAAGTTAATTTGGTTTTGTGAGCTCCACTTCGAACTGTAACTCTCAGCATGTATTAAAGCTTCCACTGTACAGGCAACAGCAGCAAAACATGGATAAAACCCAAGGCCATCAAGAAGCATCAATGATTAGACATCAAACAACAAAGATCATGCAGCTGAGTCAGTGACTATTAATCACTCTCTACCAGTAATGTTATAGAAGAGAAGGGAGACTGTCTGAAACTGCTTCAGATTAACAGCTCTCCAGGGAACTGGGGAAGTTTGGCAGCATATATCATGACCAAAATAAATAAAAAAAAATTGATTTTAGGTGTCCAATTTAGGTGCCTTAGTCTCTCTAGTCCAGATGACAAAGACAAGACAGCTGTTTGAATGCCCCTCTGCAGGAACCCCCCTAACTATGTAGGAACCTGAACTTCCAGCCCTATCACCTCAGGCAAATACCCCAAATCAGGGCCAGGACATTCCATGCAAACCCAGCACACCACTGCTAACTTGACAGCAACACGACGCTCAGCTGTACATGATCTTCACCCTCAAATGACAGCACATGTTATCACAACAGAATTATTAAATAATCAGACTGGCTCAAAGTTACGCATTTCCCCTTAGCTCGCTTTTGTTTGGAGCCTCTTCCCCTGAAGAGTAAACTTTTCATTCAAACCTCAATTGAGAGCAGCCAGTGAAACTGCAGAGAAAAGTCTGTAAACAGTAACTGCTCTGTAGAGAACAAGCTGACCTTTGCAGACATTAAACAAAACAAAAAGGGTTGATTGATGCTGTGCAGTACATGCTCTCCGAAATATTAAAACCAAGAAAGTCATGGAAGGTTAGTTTATGAACGTACAGCGTGATAAATTATGTCAGCGGATGGTGGGGTAGGAAAGGGGAAAGCATGACTGGGTAAAATATTTAGGGAAAAAAGCCTGTATCCACAGCTGGAGAAGGAAAAGTGTGTAATGCTGACTTCTATTAAATGGAAAAAAATCCCAAACCTATGTTATCTAGAGCAGGTCAGTTGCTAAAGTCTCCATGACTCATTTTTTTAAAATTCTGATTAATACAGTAAGATATGGTATAATGTTTTTTAGAATAAGAAATCTATTAGTAAACTCCAAAGGATAGCTACTTACGGTTTAGCCACAAACATGTTATTAATACAGAGAGGGACAATCTAACCTATATAGAAGCATGGAATCGTAGAACTGAGTCCAACTGTTAACCTAGCACTGCCAAGTCCACCACTAACCCATGTCCCTAAGCACCACATCTACATGTCTTTTAAATACCTCCAGGGATGGTGACTCAACCACTTCCCTGGGCAGCCTGTTCCAATGCTTGACAACCCTTTCAGTGCAGAAATTTTTCCTAATAGTCAATCTAAACCTTCCCTGGCGCAGCTTGAGGCCGTTTCGTCTTCTTCTATCAGTTGTAACCTGGGAAGAGACCAACAGCTACCTTGCTGCAATATCCTTTTGGGTAGTTTCGGTTTCGGTCTGCCTGAACTTGTCAACCCAAAGTACAAACAAAGGCTGCAGAACGCTGCGCCTCTTTCTCTCTTTACTTTGCTCCCTTTTCATTTTCCCTTCCCGCAGAACTGTACAGGGCGGGCTGGGGGAGCTGTGTGTGTTGTTCAGCTTAAATACATCTCTTCCTATCACTTTTTGGAATGGGATAGTTTTCATCACCTGGCACTTCAAGGAGATTCCAGGTAAACCTTATTTTCGTAGACGCTCTTCGGTCTGCAATGATATTTTCAGGTGCAAAAGCAGGTCCCTGGTATATGGTAGATGTAGGAGCAGTAAGCGCTGTGCTCTCGTTGCAGCTGCTAGCGCTGGAACGGTTCTCCCACCAAGGAGACCCAGGGGCTCCAGGAGCTAGAGGGCCCCTTAAATTTCAATTTTGCTGCAGTTCAGAGATTCAGCATCGGCAGTATAAAAGTCTCGGGGCACAAAGACTGTTCAGCTGACCAGGCTGAAGGGCAATGAGAAGAAGGTCGTCAGCGGGAACAAGGCGGGTGCCGACAGCACTTGGATGGAAGGTAAAGAACGTGCTTATTGAACTTACACAGGGACCACCGAGTGCCCTCAAGGACTTTGCGAAGAAACAATCTGTCCTCCTAGGGCTGGTGTCCACTCCCAAGCTGCAGTATACCAGTGACAGTCCCAGCTGCTCCCCAGCTCCCACGCGGTCCCCCGCGTCAAACCTGGCAAGCCTCTAGGCACAGCACCCCTCGTGCCCACCTCAACACGCCTCTGGAGCCAAAAAGCCACAGCTGAATATTCACAGCCCTTTTGCGAGCCGCAAGGGGCCGAACAGGGATAAGCCTTCAGTTCCTCGGACTTGCAAGGGAAGCCTGCATCCACTGGTAATGGGACACGAGCGGTTATTTACAGAGAGGTACCAAACTGTCTCTGAAGCAAAAGGTACATCCCCCCAGCACCTTTCCAATACCGTAAACTAGTACTTAACTGTGCGGTGAAAGCGACGCCCAGGACAGAAGTACCTTAAGACAAAAAATGTTTATGCCAAAAATGTAGTGCTGTCCCTGTCATGCTTTTTAGATGCTTTAAATATGGTTTCTCGAAGACAGCAAAAGTGGCTTTGGACAGCAGAGGAGCTATCTGGCATTAGAGCTATTTGCAATGCAGAATGACTTGGAGATAGTTAAGGATCATACTGTGATCCTTCCAGTGATCTGCTGGGAAGCTGAGGTGAAAGCCTGAGATCACTGAAGTCAAGAGGCATTTTGACTTCAGTGGGATCAGCACCTCTCCTTGGCTTTCAAGCAAAAATACAAATCACGTACCTCTAAAAAAAGAAGTTAATAATCAACATGTTGTAGATTATTTTGCCTTAAAGTGAAGCAAAGCACTCTGCTAATGAAACATGAAAGTGCAGGTACATGTCTTTGGATTGGCTATTGGGTAAGGTCTGAACAAAATTTGTGGGGAGAAGAAGGGACTTTTCAGACTACTCCCAAAAGCAAATCTATGATCGCATTAGGAATCTACGTTAAAGGGACAAAGAAGCTCGTGAAACCAGTCCAGCAAGGTGCAGAGATACCCGGGTAGGAGAGAGAAACAAGAAGTCATCCAACAACAACAAAAAAATCGCATTCAGAAGATCAGCCATAATATTTGTTGATATGGACTGATTTTCAGAGATGCTGAGCCGAGTTTGACAGATGCTCAGTATCACTGAACATCAAGGAAACTTACTTTATTCCTGTGTACTATCCAACACACTGCATAGTATCCCATTCATTTTAGCTGCAGACAAATTATTGAAAACTTTTACATTTTCCTGGTTGCAAACTGAAACTATTTACCATAGGTGTGGCCTCTGTGAAATCCATCAGGAGGTCACCTGGCTCCAAAGCAAATGTACTTCCAGCATCTGTAGAACTCTAAAGGCAAAGAAGAAACCCAGCATTGAAAAAACCATTTCGTTTCTGTAATTCTGTTGGTTGTTCTGGGTTTGTTTTTTTAATGCCTTGAAGCATAGATTGCCAAATGGATTTCAAATTTCACACCACGTTTTTTAAGTATGGCTACTCAGCAAGAATGCACTTTTGAAATCAAGGTAAATATTAATTTAATCCCGATCCGCTGCCTCCTAATGTTGATGAAAAACTATTACTGATTTTAGCTGGGTCTTGGAGCAGGCTCTAAATATTTCCTTACACAACAGGTTGAGCATATTACTAAAACTCTGCATTAAAAACTACTCCTAAACGTAGAATTACTCCATCTAAGGAAAACGTGTTATCTGCAGTTCTCCCAGCTGACATAAGCTCCTCTCTTTGCATATTACCTTGCCACCAGGTGAAACCTGTGTTTGTCCTTCCGACGTCTGTGGCGTGCACGTTTTCTGTGACCCGGGAGATGCTGAAGACACAGGTGTTGATGCCGCCGCTGCTGCTGCCAGTGCTGGAGGAAGGTCATCTTCATCACTGCAGTTGATAAAAGCAGACAGATCTTCTCATCAGAAAAAGTCACCGGATTTTGACCGTATTTGTGCTGGAGGAGGCACTGGTAACCTGTATGTCAGCTGTAGTGCTTTGGAGTGAAGTTCTGTTTACTCTTCCATCTGTAATGCAGCTAACTTTTCAAGTAAATTAGATTTTTTTTTAAGCTTTAAAGATTCCTCAAAAGTGGATTGGCTAGGTAAGTCTCATCTGCAAATGGAAATCTTATGGGTATGATGTGCAGGTAGTGTTTCTGTGGAGTATGTATATATGAATAAATGAACTTACTTGATATTACTCTACTTTAACATTTATTCTTTTCTATGGCGGTTGACAGTTGATAAGAACAGATCTGGTTAGATCCATCCGTGGGACTGACTGCTTTACTGGCTTTAGACCGCAGGAGATTTGACACCCATTATGCAGCTAGTCTGTGCTATTGTTTTCAAACTGTTTTTAAAGGACTTTGACTCCAAAAAGGAGCTCTTTAGAAACATTCTTGAGAGGGTATCTTTTTCCTGTCCCATTTATTCCATCTACAGAGAAAACATTTTATTTAAAACCAGGTTGCATGCTTCCCTTGGGCTCTAGGACGTCAAGCTGAGCTCTTTCCCTCTCACCTACTGTCATTGCTAAACGAAAACCAGTGGAGAATATTATACCTTCATTTACTTTTGTAGAGCCCCATTGACTACAAATCATTGGGATCTGTCAGCCCTGAGTCAGGATGTTTCCAACTGCTAATTCAATTGCATGGAGGTAAACAGAGTCACAATTTGGCCTACAGAAGCTTTATTACTGGGGATGATGTGTGAAAAGGAGAGACTACAGCTTGACAGTTTAAAGCACGGGGAAAAATTATGAGAAAAATTATTTCTGCTCATAAAATGGCACCAATTTTAACTACCAATTAGGTAGTCACAGTGCACAGAAGCCTGCCATGTCAGTTTGACAGACACTTCCAGAACAGAACTGTACTTGCTTTAGTGCTACTTGAAGGCAGCATGCCTGGGCGACACGGTACTTCAAAACTACATGACATATAGGGTACACAGCCTTATGGTGGGTTGTTTGGGTGATAACAATGTTTTTTTATTATGATATAAAGCTATGGTGATTACTATTATCTTTTCCATGCTTCATTTTTTTATTTCTTCTGGGCTAGGATAGAATTCAGCACCAGAGCATGTACAATACCCTGGTTTTATGCTGGAAAGAAGATGCAAAATCTTTTGGACCTGTTCAATAGATGTTTTATTAATGCAGCAAGCCAGAGTTGGGCTGTTGACCTAGTTAATCTCTCTTTCAGAAACACGCAGCTGACATTTTCTCAGACCTTGCTCCCCACTCTCAGCAGGAATACACTGGCACCCTCCGCATCCTTGCTGGGTAAAGCTGCTCTGTTGCATACAGGGAAGCGGAAAACTGTCAAGAACTTGCCAGTTCAGAAAGGTTTCTTAGTGTCTGTGAACCAAAGCTAAGGGTTAGGGTCCAGTCTTATCAGTCATCAAGCTAGTAGCACGCTAGCTAGAAGACTGAGAATCCGCCTTCTTCACTGGATTCCTTTCACAATACTCCTTCACTATTTCTTTGCATTTCCCATATTCGCATTCCAGACGCAAGATAATTTAAAGTGGATAGAATTTGGGTCTACAAAAAAAAAAATTTTACAAAATCACAGCCTGTATTTTTAAGTAGGGAGTCTTTGACCCTACACACGGCCATAGCATAGGTGACACCTGTGGTTAGATGTGTTTATGCGCCGTTCCTCATGCCTAACACTGGACAACTGAAAATCCACGTGGGGGCAAGACATACTCAAAACTGGTTCCTCAAAAACTCACCGATCAAAACCTGAGAATTCACTCCTGAATACATAAATACTTTTTTTTTTAAAACATACTGTTTAAATGTTGCTTCTCTCTATGTGTGTAATAACACCATTGCCTTTTCCACTGCGTGACCCTGCCTCTAGTCTCCTTTCCATTCCACTTGCCTCCCACCGCGCTGTTTGTCACTTCAGCTCTTGCCTTCCCAAGTTCTGCTCTTCCCAGACATTACTGAATTCTCTGCGGTACTGTTACTCCCAACAGCCCCTGGCATCCTTGCCCTTCTCTCTAGGACAACCTCTCACTCATTTTCATTTACCTTCTCCTCCTTTCCTCGGTGCCGTTCTCGGGCCACGGGTTCTGCAGGTGCTCAGCAGCTCTGGGGGACTGGCTGACTGTTCATGTACAGAAAAGGGAGGTGCTTGGTCTCTGGCCCAAACATTTTCTCTTTGCCCTTTGTGAACAAGTTGGCTAAACACTTTCTCAGACAAGAATGATCTAGTAATAGACGATTTTGCTATTACTTCAGGGATGCCCCCTTGAGATACCTATTTTCATTATTCTATGTCCTATTACCTACACCCCTCCTTTGGCCGTCACCTTCTATTTATTGGTAAACACACCCTCTCCAGCCCTAACCTACCCTAGAGCAATTTTTTTCACCCAGACTCTTAAAAACTCACTAGCCTTGCTATCTTCAACACCAACTTATCCTATTACCTTACTTCGATGGTCCCATGGGAAATTTTCTGCTTCTGCATACATAACATCACCGAGGTATCCTTTACAGCAAAATTGTCTACACAGCATAACCTTGTTCTCTTTGTTTGCCATGTAGCAGTGTTTGAGGACCAAGTTTAACAACCTGTTTAGGTTACAACTTAAATGGAAAACTTTTCCAAGTGCGTGTACAAAACCTGTAACTAGACCTGCCACAGGACATGAATTTCTTGCCTGTCCTTACACATCGCTGTGCTCAAAGAATAGAATCAGCCACCGCATCCCGTTCGCTACCTGCCATACGAAGCGCATCAAATAGTCGGTCCTCTCAGCGTCACAACCTTTTCCTTTGCTGACTGCTACCTACAAGTCCCTGCATTATATAAAAATCGGAAAAATCAGATGCATCTTGAAATATGTAGGAGATTTCCTTCCCCTGTCTTGTAGAAAAAGAAGCAGTAGAAGTGGGGTCTCGTTCAAGAAAAGCCCACTGCTGTCTGAGCTGTGCTGGGCAGAGGGAGTGAGGAGACTTCATTCAGGCCTTGGGAAACTGCTCCTACCTAAACTTCTCCTAAATATTTTTTCAGTTTTGATGATGTAGATTGTTACTTTTTTTCCATAACAAAAGGCAGTGTTCTTAATAGTGAGACAGAAAATAACTACATATTAATATTTGTTAGAATGCTTTTGGAGAGAAGGAAAACTTTTGCTAATGTTGCTATATATTTAGTGACACTAGAATGTTAAATTGCTGGAGGGACTAACAGTTGCCATTCTGCATAAAAGGCATACATATTTTTTTCTTCATTATGGCATTGGTGTTCTTGTACTAATAAGTTTATGCTGACGTTGTCCATTTTTTCCCCTAGTTTCTAGTGGCCTTGTCTGTCCTTTCATATGAAGGACAAACCAACAAACTGATTTCCACATCTCTCCAGCACCTCACGTCTCTAGACAGTCTCATATCAGATGAATTATGTGTAGGTGGGATGCCAGAGCCCTATAGGCACAGATCACTCTTGCCAGGACTGAGACTTAACTTTGCTGGCTGTAGCTGTAGCGGGCTCAGCAATTTCTGCATGTGACAAAATCAGAGAGAGAGGGTGCAATTCCTGAGAGGGAACGGCTGACAGCACAGCTTGACCACCCTACAGCTAAGGACTGTTTTCTTCATTTCGCAAATGGGGTTGTAATTAAGCAGAGAGAGCAGCTTGCTCCAGCTCACACCAGGTCTTGGACATTTCATGTGGAAAAGAGGTTTTTAATTCCTAACCTATAAGCTCAGAAAAAGGCAGAGGGGCTTGCAATCTGAGGGTTAGCAGCCGCATAGGGACGGCAAATTCATTTCATATTAAAAGCTTGAAGATTCTCAGTGATGAAAGGAACGGTATCAGTATAAGATCATTATCGTGTAATTGCACTCATGCCTTTCAGAAGGCACAGCTAGAGCAATAATTAGCATCCCCCTGCATTTTCAGCTGCGGCAGGCGAAAACGTAAGGATAATGCTATATGTTACTCACAAACTGTACTGCCTCGTTAACTTCCTCACACGAGAAACTTTAATCTCTTGCTTTTCTGTAGGGCCAGTTGATGGCGTAGTTTCAGGTCGCACTGGAGCTGGACTTCTAAAAATAACAAGAAAAATATATGTGGCACAGTCTTTATTTAAAGTACTCCAGGCATATCAACAAAGTTCTAACTCATCAACACGTATTTATCTTGCAAAGTGGCAAGTGCCCATTGAAGTTCATCCTTTTGTTCCATTTATAGTTCACAGGCCAGTGTGCATGAACAGAAAAGGATGTGCGAACTCACCCTCCTGTGCATTGCATACCATTTATAAAAGCAGCAACCGATTATAAATACAGAGCCTATGTAAGAGACCACGTGGAAATATCACTGTTTCCAAAATACAATATTTTAATAACAGCCCAGCAATTTAGTCATGTCAGAAATATTTTTTACAAAAAATACCTTTAACAAAAACTATTTGAGGAATCGTGAAACCTGTTCTGCTTAAAATAGTTTTTACCTGAAATTAAACGTTATCCTTCTGCATTTGAAAGAGCAGCACAAGGGAAATAACTAATGGATTTGATCCAAGAAAAGGATACTTGTCAGAAAAAAGGCAAAACTCAGACATGTTTCGGATGCTCATGAATGTGAAATACATCTGCAGGGCTCCAGCAGAGGATAGAAATGGGAATAAGGAGACCCAGATAAAAGGATCTTCTCTTTAACCATTGATCAGTAGAGTTAACTAACGCTTGAATACAAATAGCATAAATACTAAATACAAGACCTTCATGATGCTGGGAGGAAACCACTGCAACCATGAGCCTGAGTGGCATGAAAACACATGAATCATCTTAAATACTACTTTTATTTGAAGCAACACATTATGATTAAATATACCATATGTGTACTGCAAACACTGTAAACATAATAAATATTCCAAACATTAAAAGAGGAATTTGAAAGTCTTGATTAATAATTTGTGAAATGGTATTCTGCCATCTAATCCGAAATCAGATACTAAGTTAGTACTTAAGCAGCCCTGCTGATTGCTGGTGGGACTGCTTCACGCACTGAGGTACGTTCCACATCTGGCAGAAGTGGCACAATACTGTCTGTAATATTATAAATTTAGATTGAATTTTTCGACTTTACTTGCATCGTATTAGCCTTCTAAAGCCATAATAAGAGAAGCATATTGAATCGTCACAATTGTGGTTCCCTCTGATGCCCCTGCGGGTTTTAAGCTTCATTAATTCTCTTTGATAACTTCTGAACCCTCTGTCCAGCTACAACAGAGCCCACTGGGATGGTAACAGGCTTCAGATTATATCTTCAGTTTTCCTATGTTTTTTAGTCTTTGGGGAGGTCACAGAGCATAAGATGGAGCAATGGGAAGCATAAGAGTACAAAGGACATACATAAATCATAAACGCGACTCTACTAGTTCCACTTCTCATGGAACAACTTTTGTCAACTTTTTCCCTACTTTTTAATCCCATTAATTTCAAGAATTCAGTACAGATAGCAGCAAGATTCATATTTGCCCCTTCCCAAATTCCAGTTTCAGGGTCGGTCATTTGTATCTCAGATACGCAAAGAGATTAATGCAGAACAATTCAGCCAGATTTTCAGACCTTTTGCTGAGTTTGTTAGGCTGGCAAATAAGGGGAGGATAAGAGAAGAAAAAAGCCCAAAGCACTTTGTTTTAATCTTGAAATCAGTATGTCTGACCTGGAAATCTGTGAATCAACATCATGATGGAAGCCCCCAATGACATTTTCATCAAGTCGGGCTTCAGAGTGGATGACTGCTCTAGCTATTCCTTTCTTGCTCAACCAAAGGTAGCTTTCAACAGCTAAGACAAATTACGAGTTCAATTTACCCAAACTAATTTTCAGTTCAAGTTCTGACATAAGCAGGATAAATATGTTAAGACCCATTTAACAGCTGGATCGGATGGTCGAATCCTCAAGGGGTATGAATGTGTGCAATGCCACTATTTTCAGCTCTGAAGTACATTAGCTGAAATTCTTGCTCTGAAAGAGTAGTCCTCACAATTCTCCAATACCTTTATAAGAGGGTACTTACAAGTTTTAAACATTTTCATCAACCCAGTGAAAGCAGGAGCAAAAATAATGGTATAAACTACAGGTGACTTGAAAAATTCCTCAAAATGATAACAAAAAAGTTCCTCAAAATGATAACAAGCGATGCACTAATACTGTCAAGGGGCTCAGGCAACAGCAGTGTGGAACAGCAAAGCTGGTAACAAATCTATTTCCAGTTCACAGCTACTTCACATTTTTCAAGACAACATTATAATCTGTAATGAAAGTAAATCAGATATTTTCACACAAAGGAAAATTTGAAATTACAATTTCAGTTCCTTTAAAAAGTTTCATTTTACAGAGTCTATATGTCCCCTTTTGATTCTCAGTGTTTTCAATTTTTAAAAAAAGGGGAGGATGTGGGACTTTCGACGGAGATATTTCAGTTGCCAAAATCAAATTTTTGTTTGAAAATATATTCTGCAATTTTGTAACTAAAGCAGTTTATAATGATTTCAAAGTTATGAAACTGATTTGTATATATGAAATGTTTTAAAGTTCTAAGTCTGAATTAATCTCAAAAAGTTTCACCTGAAAAATTTCACTCAACTGTGATTAAAAGTGTTTGAGAACCAAACAGGACCTATTCTTTAATCCAACAAATAGATGAAAAACTTACTGTTTTCCTCTGAATGATGCAAATTTTCAAGTGAACAATAAAAAATAAAAAGCCAAGATACAGTAACACTAGACACACCTACTCTTATTTCAGTGATTGTGACTGCTCAGATAAACTTTACTTGTATTTTGTATCACGCCAGTAAAGTATCCCACTGGCTTATTTTGCAAAAGCAATACAAATTTAAGAGCAAAAATCTCTTTCCCTTTATTATAAAATTTTACCATCATTTTTATTAGAGGCTGGATGCAGCAACTACCCTTCTCCCACTATTTATCAGGCCTCCGGGAAAGACACAAGCACCATTTAATTGCACATTTCAAGAAGCTGCAGGTTAGCTAGGGTGTAAATTGAAGCTACTTCTGAATGCAAAGGAGCAGTGGCAATGCCTCCACCCGTAGAGGCTGACTGAATCCAGTCTACCATAAGCACAAAATGAAATGTTAGACCAGTCCTACCAACTGCAGAGCTGGATTTTTGCCCTCAGTAAAACCTTGCTAGGGTAGCTCTTTCCACACCAGCCTAAAAAAAATCCGTGACAGCTCCTGTTTCATGTCCAAACACCCTTCCTCAGCCTGAACATGCTCAAAACTGTTGCTACTCTCACAAGAGCAACCAGATGCAAGAAGTGCTCAGCTTGATCAACTCAGAGCCTGACCTGTGTTTTAAAAATGGCAGGCTTTTAATATCACACAAACTCTTAAAAAAGATCTCATTGATACTCCTGAAAAAGAAGCAACTATAAAGCAGAATAACTTCTATTGTTACCTTTTGAATTCTACAGCCAGAATATATTATCTTGTATGGAAAGACACAACTCTTGAGAAGAAGCCTTGTCATTATTTTGGCTATTTAAATAGAGTCATTATGTGCAGATATCACCATTTGTAGTTTATAGTCCTATATAAACTATATAGCTTGAACAAAACCCGAAGTGTTGAAGGATCAGTGGGACCCAGACTTAAAAAAAAAACATTCAGCGTATTAGAGTTCCTTTATAAGGCTCTGTTTCAATGTCATTAATTCATAAGAAACCTTTTTCCCGCAACAGTATCCAACCACTACAGCATAAAAATGAAGGTACTGAACCAAGACAGAGTTACTTAATGACCTGGCACCTTACATAAAAATCTGTCACATCCTGGTGAGAATGACAATAACAACCACGAATGTCAGCGCGCAGTGGCAGGTCGTCAGAGACTGCCTGCGCACCGAGAGCCCCAGCGCGCTCCCGAGCAGCAGCCAGCACGCTCTGCTGAACCACCTTCACAAGCCTGCCCAGAAACAGAAACGACTTCTCGAGAGAGATGCCCCCCAAACCGAGAAATTCGTTTTGTTCTCAGAGTAGCAGCCAACAGGGCTCCTGAAACCAAAACTGCTCACAAAAACCCCATACGCTGCGGAACATTCCAAGTGACCGCAGACGTGCCCTGATTTAGCTTGAATCTTCCGTGGGGACGTTGAGGTACGTGCTCGTGCCGAGGGACTCGGGGTGTCCCACCACATCCTGGCTCAGCTGTAATGGGAGGACTGGTTTGCGGGGCTGCGCACCATCCCTTTGCGTACCGTGGTTTCTACAGACTGACGTGCCTTCCTCGTCCCCTCCGGGCAGACCTCCGTACTTGTTTGAAACGACTGTGCACCCAGTAAGCTGAAAGGGATAAAATAACTTTTCTTTCCCCGGAGGATGCAGTTCAGAATTTTAAAACCACCGAAGTCTGCTGGGGGAACCCGCTTTCCGCGTTTCTCTTTAACAGGTTTTATCCTCCTTGCTTTTGTTTGTGCCCGTTTCGCCATCTGGAACAATCTCTGTGCCGTCCTCCCAGACTAAGGCCAAGAGGTAAAGGCTAAAAGCCCCGTGATTTACAAGGATACTGCATGAAGGTTGACCTGCCTTCAGGTGCTGACTCATGGGAAAAGAAAAACCCAAAAACAAACCCACTGGCTGATTTTTGGCTTCAGAACTCCCTTTGAGTGGGAATGTGGTAGTGAAATCTTGGGAAGTAAAAGCAAGGAAGAAAGGAAAGAAGAGGAAAAACGTTTGACAGATGCATTCTCTTGTGCAGCAAAGACATAGCCTAAAAAGCTAAGCAAACACGCAAATCTTTTCTAAGTCTGTGCTCTAAGGGTTTCACACTTATTTCTTTTCCAAAGTTACAGCCATCTGAAGTTGAGAAACAATAATACGTGCTTTTTCACTCTGATAAGGTAGCTTTTCTCAGAAGACAGGTTAGCTCTCCAAAACATTATTTGGACATTTGAAAGCCAGCATCAAACTTTATGAATAAAGGTTTTTTCTTCTTTTTACATCCTCCCTCCCCACCCCCCAATTAGATTGCAGATGTACAACAAAGCTCCTTGCTACAGCAGCCTAATCCAA